TTAGAAAAATATGTTGTTAAGCCAGATTGTAATGATTGTTTGTGAGGCAGTCTGTTCAGCGCTCTACTATGTATGCGGAGAGCTGATGGACCAGTAGTGGAGCTCACTGTGCTAATTTGTGTTGACCATTTATTACAGTTATTACAGAAAATTCAACCAACTGGCCTCCTCTGTGTGTATGATGGGACGGGCATAAAGGGGAAGCTGTCACATATAATATATATATATATATATATATATATATATATATATATATATATATATATATATATATATATATATATATATATATATATATATATATATTCTTTTTGTTTTTTTTATCACCATTTTATCACCGCAAACTGCACAGGAGGGTATGTTCACCTGTCTGTGTGTGTGTGTGTGTGTGTGTTGGGGTATGTGTGTGTATGCGTGTGTGTGTGTGGATGTGCGCGCGTGTGTGTGGGTGTGCGTCTGTGTGTGTGGGTGTGTGTTGGGGTGTGTGTGTGTATGCGTGTGTGTGTGTGGGGGGGGGTGTTTGTGCACGTGTGTGTGGGTGTGTGTGCGCGCGTGTGTGTATATCCTCCTGGTTCAATGGGGTGAAGCAGCCACTTTGGTATAAAAATAAAAAAATAAAAAATTGGGGGCTTGGATGTCAGTGGAATTATCTTGGACTGTCTGCTCTGAACAACACAGCCTGACCATTTCTGTTTCTCCCTTTTCCAGTTCTTTCTCCTTTTTTTTTTTGCTGCATAACAAGAGATGAGTACACCATGGATATTTCCCTCCTTGCTGCCCAGCAGTGAAAGGAGCAATGCTGCCACTGCTGTGTTGTCATTTATGTAAGCAGTTAGCCAGATATGGTTACAGCCCTCTGAGCACGCCTTGGAAAATAAATCACGGCCGTTGGGTTAAGCAGGAGCAGAGGGTTGCTGCTGGAATCGTGCTGACAGAGAAATTCATTCACTTCCAAAAAAATCTATCTGTGCAATTACTGATGTCAGCATCAAACCGAGAGGAGAGCAGGGTTCTGTCTCGCGCCGCCCGCCCCTTCCCCTCTGTCTTCGTTCTGTTTACCACACACATGACTCGGTGACCTTTGCGTAGATAATTCCGTTACATAAGCCGGGTAATTGTTGTAGCTTCGGAGCATCCAAGTGGCCCAAAGCTTTGATGGCCTCGCAGTCAAAAACGAAAACTCGGTGGCATTAATGAATGCTGTCATAAAGAAGAGGAGGGGAAAAGGAGGCAGAAACGAGCACAACGCTGTGCCAGAACCAAAATGGGATAGAAACGGCAAGTACTCTCCCGCTTGTTTCATTGCGGCAACGCCAAAAAATGCCCCCCCACTTCCCTGCCGTTTGCTGCAGAGATCCCAGTGAATGCTCTTTGCGTTTCAGTGAGGTGCGCGAGAACGAACCGGGGGTGAATATATGATTTTTTCCTGCCGAGATGCTTTTTACATTCCCTCCTCGCTGCAAAGGCTCAACCGCTCAAACCAATCAAACTCGGAGCGGCATAACTGGCAGAAGAGTTCACTTTCCCTTTAACTGAGTTCCTTTCGTTGTGGACAATGTCGGAGTCAGAGAGGGAGACAATTACTGATATTTGCTGCCAGCCATCAGAGGGAGAAAGGCCGAGAGATACAGCGGCAGAAGCTCCATTTCCACATTGTTAATTAGAAACTCTCCCTCAGCAGATGTCCTCGCCGAATGAAAGAAGTCACACAGTCGCACTGAGTGCACACACCTTTTTTTTTTCTTTTCTTTTTCTTTTTAATCAAGCAACTTCAACCGAGCAGTAAAACTGATGGCAAATAAAGCCGACACTGAAGTTTGCATCACTCAGGAAATTGCCATCTTTTTTTTTTTTCAAATGATCATCAAGTGTAGTTGTTGAAAATGCAATTGGTTTATATAGAATGGAGGGATGAGGAGGGGAGGGATGTAAAACAATGAGGGAGCAACAAGAGGCAAAAAGCAGGAGAAGAACCGGGAAGCTGATTTCATGCTTGGGGAATTGCATCTCATTTTCTCCCAGCAGACCAGTGTGTGGTCTTGCTTGTGCCTTTACTGCCATCTGGTGGCAAAAGAAAGAACATTGCAAGCTCGAGAGCCGAGTCGGCTCAGGAGGTTTGCTTGAATCCAGGGTAACTCAGCTCCGGCATGCATGAGATTTATGTTGACTCTATGCTGTACCATCCTTTTCTAGTAGCAAAAAAGCGAGAAGTAAGATGTATAGCTGCAGTGTCACAAAGAGGGGAAATTAACAAGTCTCAGCTTCTGCATTTCAAGAAGAGATGTGTTTGTTTGTGTTGGTTTGAAATCAATGAAACCACTTTCTATGCCACCACTGATTAATGAATTAATGAAGGCTTCACCAGTAATTAACATTCTGTTCCGAACATCATGCTAGAGCTGCAGTCACTTACTCTGTCTGTGTGGAAGTCCAATAAAAACAACATCAGATAAAGAGGGTAAAGTGAAGATGACTAGAAAGAGGGAGAGAGAGAGAGACAGAGAAAAAAAAAATATTTAAGCGATATAAAGTCGCACCCAGCAGCCGTCCCTGACACAAGAAAGGTCTGGATGATTAGCGGAGGCCGGCGCTCACAGATAGCAGCTCCGCTAACAGCCTCTACCACCTCATTAGTCGGGGCCCGGCAGCACCGTGCCCCCTCTATTAAACTCTAAATGAAAGACCGCCAAGCGTGATTACCGAGGGGGAGTCCCCAGTCGTCAAGGGGATAAGAGAGCCGAGCTCACCCACACATACACGCGCGCGCTCAGACACCCACGGTCACACTTTTGCATCTGCTGTGATAGACATTTAGTAGAAGACGGCTGAGCATCATCGAGCACCGAATGCCACTCTGAAACGTGAAGCTTTGACGCTTGACACCCCGGGGAACAGAAATACGAGGCATTTTCTTTTAAATATGAAAAAAATATGACAAATGAGACCAATAAGTGTTAGTGAGCAAGCCTTGGAGCGGGTTATGGAGATGAAAATGTGGCTCTTACCACTTAGGAGGGCTGAAGCCCCACAAGCGATATCGGAGGGGGGGAAAAAAAGTCAAAGGAACATTTGCTTGTTCTCTCAAAAGTTTTGTAGGATTCTGCAGGAGAGCCCAGCATCTGGGGAGGCGCATTGTGCAGACGTTGAGCAGCTCCCACATATTAGTTGTCGTCTGGGGTTTGATTACCTATCAAGTCCTTTGTTGCACGTCTTCACCCATTTTATCTCTGCCCACTTCCTGTCTGATCTACCCGTCTTAGCCACAAGCGCCAGAAAAACCTGCATCTAGCTGCAGACACGGTTGATCTCAACCAGTGACTGTGTGTGTTTTGTCTAACTTTGCTGTTTAAAAGATTCTCGAGATGCAAAACTCTCCCTTGAACCTTACAGTAATGGCGGTCTTGTGCTTCTGACAGAATTGTCGAATAATATTCCCTGCTGATATTGATCGCAAATTGCAACACTGCGGTCAAAGTTGCAATTTTTTAATGCTTTATTGTTGTCTTAATGGGTTTTTACATAAAAGTTGAAATTGCTGCACGCTACCTTCCTCTTCCTTCTCTTTTTCTCATCAGTAATGATCCCTCCATGCCTGATGAAACCCGGCATCCTCATCCTGCTTCTGCCCTCTGGTCTAATGTCTCTGACCTGACTATTTGCTCTTTCTAGTGTGACTATAAAGATTTCTTTTAAATACGCGGAAAGCCGAGCAGTGAGCACAACTTCTGTACAGAAATGAAAGAGGATTGTTTATTCCTGGCAATAACTCACTAACAAGGGATCTGAAATAGGTAACAACAACATCAGTCTTCTTAACAAGCCTAATATGATAGAGTACAGTGGAACTGACTAACTAATCATCATTTAGCCAGTATTATCTACATTCAGCAGCATTACTCAACTTGCACAGCTTGTTTGGAAGAAAACTCAGTATAGTTTCGTTTGCCTTTCGGCTCTGGCTAGTTGTTGAGCGTGACTCGGGCCAGTTCAGTTCGGCTCAGCAGCAGGTCTCTCCTGCGGTGCAACACAGCATGTACACACTCACGGTGCGTTTAAAGACAGCTCACGAAATCACAATAATGCATCTAAACAATCTGAACAACCGGTTAGACAGTTTTTATGGAGGAAAGAAGAGCAGGGAACACAACGGGCGTGGGCTCATCCTACAGCACATCTCGAAATAGTAACCATGTAGACAGATTGGCTTTCAAGAGACATGAAACAGGAGGGTAAATTAACAATTGGGGATAAGAGGATTGGTCAAAACTCAGCCGAGTTAGAAAAGAAAGAAGCACAGAAAAAAACTAAAGTAATTGGTCAGATTTATGGAAAAGTTGAGAGGATTAGCAAAAGTCCGTGCATAGTTTGCGAATGATGGCTGAATTTTCCCTTACCACAACATATTGGAAGGATCTTGCAAAGTTTTTGTGACATTTCTCCTAATTAATGTGCTCTAATGCTCCAAAATATGATGGGCTTGAGCAAAAGTTACCAATCTTTCTCTGGACGTTGCGAAATAAATTTGGGATAAATATGAAAAAAAACTTTTGGGAGATTTTTCCCAACCAGGGTTCAGTAGCAGACATCATAAACCCTGCTCAGCAGTTATTATATACAGTAGTTGCCTGCGTGCAAGCCTGTGCGTTGCACTATGAATAACTTTATGAAACTTTATGAAATTACTAATCTGGTCCACCGTTTGCTGGTTAAAATTCTTCTGCGGAATAAAGAGATGGGGTCACGTGAACCCCACAAGTTTTTCACTTGTGCGCTTTTCTTGGGTTTTGTCCATTCTTTTAAATGTGTGGCTTCGGGAACTGACGGTCCAATGGGACACCTCCACGGCTTCCCCATGGCCAGACCGTGACATTTACCGCGCTCCTCCTGAGAGTTGCGCTAAGGCCGCAGGAGGGTTAATAAGTGGAGCATTAGTCATCTTGCCAAAGGTTTTCTCTGCAAAAGAAATTAAAAGCCGAACTGGGAGAGCGAACAGCACTCACGGTCGTTGCAGTGGGTGCCTGTGTACGACGTCATGGAGCAGTCGCAGGTGAAGTTCTCCCACTGCTGGATGCACACGCCCATGTTGGCGCACGAATCATCCTGGCAGGTCGTACTCGGACCTAAAGAGGCGAGAGACAAAGAGAGAGAGAAAGAAAATAGATACCACCGGTGTGCAGTCAGGCAACGGTGAAGGCAGCTATTGAGCCTAAAGAGAGAAGGACCCATGCAGAAGATATGCACTCAAGAGAGACAGCTACACTACTCAGGAGGAGCAGACAGTGCCGCCACAGGAAGCCTGACCCGAGTATAGATCGGTTAAAGGCTGTCTCAGGAATCCCGCCTCATGCCGGACGAAGCTGCTGCAATCGTGCTGGCACGTCAATGGAAAGGCGCCAGGTTGCACCGCAGCATGCTCTTTAAGCAGAACGAGCTGAAGCGTACACTGCGACGTGACTATAGCGAATCCGGACTTGAGAGCGAGCAAAGAAGGGTTGCACTGAAGAGTTGCCGCTGCAGACGGGTCGGCCGGCCGGTGTGACGGCACTGTCGACGTCCTCCGGTTTCATTCTCTCTTTTCCTTTTGAAACAGCAAGTGAGCCAGAGACCCCCGCATGCAACGTTTTCAACATTCCGACATGGTTCGGGAAAGTTTTATCAGGGTAAAACTTCTAAACGCTGCATTCCCTCTGCGAACAAGCAAGACAAGACTCAAACAGGTTAAAAAAAAAAAATAATGTTAACAATAGCCATATAGAAAACCCAGCCAAAAACAGGCCGTGGGTTACATTTCTAAACATCAGTGTCAGAGTACAAGATGAGCACTAGATCCACCAGACAGACGGAAGTCATGAGGAGGAAAGAAACGAACATGAAGCACTTAATAACACATGGCGCATATCTGGAAGAAGTATGCACCAGAGCCAGACGAGAATCGAGGAGGGTATTCAAAGTCAAACTGGATGTGTGTTTGCTATTCCTCACACCACACATAGCTCTCACTTTTGAATACTTCTATAGAGCGAGGGAATGCAGATAAGGACGAGTGCACTGCATAGATAACGAGATAAACAATCCGGCATTAAGAGTCTGCACAGACAAAGGAGAAGAAACCTCGACAGTAATCCCCTTTAATAACAAGATACAGGAGGAAACAAGCTCAAGTAAACAAAACAAACTACAGATAAGTAAATAAAGAGATAACAGACAAATGCAAGTAAACTTTGTTTAAGAGCAGTTGTCTTGTGCGAGACGACGTGAAGAGAAAAGGACATTTTAAGTGGCAAAAAAATAAATAAATAAACAGAGCAAGTTCGCCAGCTGAAAGTGCATTTACTGTGTAATGTACTGTAATGGTGGTCAACCAGGCATCCCGAGCGCTGTGCACATTTATGTACAGTGTTCATATCAAGGCAAATGGAATGTGTGCATTCCAGTGGTGGAGTAGGAGGAGACTCGCTCTCTTGAGAACGGAAAAAAAAACAAAAAAGCTTTCGCGTAGGAGACGTGATTGATTTTTAAAGCCAGAAGCTTGACGCTGCAGCGGCACAGTGGGGGTTCTGGTCTGCAGCCTCTGCGGCGTGGCGTTTGGCTGCGATTAACGTGTATCTACAGTGCCAAAAAGTATTCACACTCTGAGGGTTTCCGCATGTTTGTCACAATATAAATACATATTTCACATTCCTTATGGAACCTTTCGCTGTTATTGAAGCTGGAAATGTTGAGTCATATTCTTGTCACTTTTTTTCTCTGTAAATTTACTCCCACCAGAAAATCATGTTTAAAATATTGTCATGGACTTGAACTAGGCTATTCTAACACCCAAATAGGTGCCGAATTAAATCATCCCATCATAGCTGTGGCATCATAGTTTTGTGGTCCTCTTGCAGGAAGGTTTTACTCCAGATTTTGGCCTGCATGCATCAATCGAAATCAACTTCTTTTTGTCACTCTTCTCCAAAGGCTAGAACCGTGGAACACTTGAGAATTACTTGTCAACACTTTCTCCCACTTTGATTGGAGATCTCGAAATACTTTCATTTAGATTGAACTCTTACTGTTGGGCATTCATTGTACAGTTTATCATTTATCTTGACATATTTCTTACATTGCCACAATAACTATAATTTCCAATTATTGATGTTTAAAACGTGCAAAACTGTATTTGTGTTTGTGGGGCTATCACCAGCAACAATATCTCTTTAATTAAATGAGTCGCAGCGACATTTAATTTACATTTGGAATCAAAAAAGTATTTTTTGAAATTTGAATCTGAAATATTAGTACAAGCTCGCCCTTGTTTAAGCTTTTTTCCTGACGTGTCTGCTGTGTTTCTTGGTCTTCATGACGTCTGCTCACAAAAGCGACTCCTGAAGTGGATTGCTGTGCAGGATTTTATTTGGAGTCATCAGAGTAAATGAGGAGGTATATGTTTGCCAGCCACAGTTAAAAAGCGTGTCTCTTTTTACCACTGTGCATATGTATTACTTTATCATATAAAATCAGAATAAAACGCATTAAGATGGTCGCAACGTAACACGTGCAAAAGTTCCAGGGGTCCAAATACTTTTTCAAGATGCTGCAAAACGTTCATTTAGCAGTTTTATCTTTTTCCCCCCTGCTATTTTTTTTCCCCATCCGCTGCTTATTTATATTTTTCCGCATCAGAGAGCAAGTTCCCCCACCGCAGCACCTGGAAGACGTTATTGCCATGGTGACACCCACGATGCATTGCACACAGCAACCTTTCAGGCGAGCTGGCCTTCGAGAGGCGGAGTTGAACCCTCTACCTTGCAGGTCGGCTTTGGTGAAACCAACTTTGTTGGCGCAGAAAGAACAAAAACAACAAAACAGAACAGAGCAGAGCAGGAAACAAGAGCAAAAGATTAGTGAGGCAGCGGCATCGTTAGAGGTCAGAAAACTTGCTCACGCCTGCCCCTCAGACAACATGGGGAACCTTGCAGAACGGGAGAGGAGCTTTGCTGTTAGATGTGAAAATGTGTGTGCATCTCTGAATGCAAGCTCCTCTGACCTAATGAAAACCTGCTACTGCCCTCTAGAGAAAATAGAAGGCACTACAGCCACCAAATACTCTGGTGGAAGATGCCGCTGTAGAAAGTTACATACCACAACTTTTATGAATTATACGATAAGAATTGTAGTTTGAATTCAGGTTTAAAATTCTCCCCATTTAAACGGTTTGAATTCTTAATATTTGGTTAAGCATTTCTTATAAAGATAAAGGAAACAGCATGTTTTATAGTCATGGGGAAGGTCCTGATAATATTCTGGTTGGCTATTTGATCACAAATCATCCCTGTCGTAATAAACAAAAAGCTTCATTTTTGTCCCAATTGGTTATGAACATCTCCCCAGAGGTCATTTAGTTTGTGTAGAGACTTGCAAATCACAGCTGTGCTACAATGTGCAGATTTTGGAGCTTATTTCCTGATTGGTGCAAACTTAGTCAATGCTGAAGTTAAGGGCGCAATGTTATGCATTTTCCAGCCAAATAATTTTTTTTTTACAGCTTTATATAGGTCATATCAAACATGACTTAAAAAGAAATTTGACTTTGTAATTCAATGCCTTGAAATTGGGCCTTTGTCTTTTTAAGAAAGTCAAGCTCTTTTCGGCCTTCAGGAAGTCATCACAACATTCCTGTTAACTCTGGTTTTACTAGCATCGTCAGAGGGTTATAATGAGTTTACTAGAGGTGCAGTTCCACCAGGTGTTTGCTAATTACTACTGGCTAGTCTGAAGGAGCTGAGTGGGGGAGTTGTTGAGGTGGAAGCTCGGGTTAGACTGCAGCTGGACAGTTTTATAACCCAGAATGGTTGCCATGGGAGATTAAATGAGTCCTTAAACATCCATAAAAGAATCAAAGCAACTTTTTGATTATGGTATGACAAGCTCAAAGTCGATTCCATAATACTGCCCCTTTAAGCTTGAGCCTTGACGGTTTCTGGGTTGTTCCTGAACATCCTGACCAATTTTTCTTTCATCTCACTGTCAAATGGTTGTAGTCTGGATATCACTGGGTGTTTCAACAAGACAGTTATCCTAAACACATCCATATGGCTAACATTAAGACTAACATTAAGCTTCAAAAACTAAAGCTACCTAATGCCGATTTCAAATGTATGACCTATATCTAAAACTTGAGTCTGTGCTGGGAAACTAGAGGATTAAGGAGTTGTCAAATATCCAGCAAGTATTTTGCCTGGATGTTGCTCTATCAAAAAAAAGAAAACTAGCACATTACACAATTTGTACCTTCGCAGCCACGCTCTACATGCCCGCTGCGGAACAGGGCGTCGTTGATGAGGTCTGGCAGGCGCCCGTTGAGATCTACGGATGCCAAGCAGCCCTGGAAGCCTTCCCGGGAAACCACCAGCTTAGGGAGGTTCTGATACATGTTGGGTCCCAGGCCTCCAACAAACAGGTCGCCTGACGGGACACAAAATGGAACCACATGGTTAACTTTTCATATTCTGGATGGTCACCAAAGAGATGGGAGACACAGCTTCTCCATGTTGTACCTTTAAGGTCGAGGTTTTTGGCCCCGTTGACATTCTGCGTGACTGACTTGGTGTCTACTTTGAGAGTGTGTGTGTTGGAGGCATCGCGCGTGATGACCACGTTGTGCCACTGGTTGTCGTTCAGCGGGTTGTCGCTGTTTCCCTTCAGCAGGCTGGGCCCGTTCCCCAGGTCGAACACATAGTGGATGAACCTGGCAGGAGAGAGGCGGCAGCAGATGGGCGGAAAATGAGTGGAAAAGCAGCCAAGCTTTGAAAGGACTTCAGAAAGCCTGCAGAACTGCTGATCAAGGCCACTTTGAAAGAGTACAAGGAATCCTGGCTCTCTGGATGCAAAATACAAAGAAATCAGGGATTACCCACTGAGGTGGTATTTAACTTTTTGAAATTTCTTTAAGTCATAAGCAACAACTTCAATGCATTTTATTCCCAGTTCATGTCATAGATCAACACGATGTAACGCATGATTGTAAAGTGGCAAAAATATCAGTTTGAAGCTTTATTTTAACTGATAAAAGTCTGAAAAGGGGTATGCATAGTTACCATTTCATGTGATAGGTCTAAAGAAAATCCTTTGCAACCAATTGCCTTAGGAAGTCAATCTTTGAAGACATTATTCATTTAGAGGATTGTCAGAGAACAAACATCATCACAAGGACTAATGAGCACAACAGACAGAGAGTTTCATTGAAGTGTAAATTAGAGTTTGGTTATAAAACAACATCCAAGCTTTAAATATGTCACAGGGCTTTAATCAATCCATCATCTCAGAATGGGAAGAGCACAAATGCAAACCTAGAAAGACAACAGACATTCCCCTAAGCTATTAGTAACAGTGAAGTGTATCACAGTTGATGAAAAGATGGATGGAAGTAAAAAGACAATTTTGGAAGAACACCCGTTACAGCATTGCTCCCTCTCCATTAATTTCGAATAAAAGTTGCATGATGAATGCTTACCATCTTCTAGCCAGGCAACCGGCAACATGTGCATGTGAAATTTTACACTTGAACACGCGGACATGCTCAAGCGGGTTTATGATGCGACATCAGAAAACGTGAAATTGTTCAACGTCATCACTGTAAAGACAGGCTCCAATTTCCAAGAATTAGGATTATAAAGGATGGTAAAGACCAAAGGTTCTTTGTCCTTAATCCATTACATTGTTCAATTAAAAAGATTGACGTTTGTAGTTGGAAAAACAATTTTTGCAAGTCACTGTATACTTGCACATTTTTAATATTTTAAAGTTTGCTTATTAGTAAAACTAATGTGAACATAAGAACTAGTTAATTGTAGCTGGTTGATATCTAGACGCTTCAACATTTGAAATTCAGGATCAAAGATCTGACAAACCCTGTCAAATTTCAACTGACTCCACCAACAGCTATGAAGATTTTTTTTTTAAAAATCAGTTTATTATTTCTGTACTGTTGCTTCTCAATAAAACTTCCATCCCACTCACCCTTTGACCAGCTCCACGGCGATAAAGTCGTTCCCATCTCCGCTGTTGAAGAGGATGAAGCCGTCGGGCGAGGTGGTTTTGAACTGGAAGAACAGGTGCATGGTGGTGTACGCCTGCAGGGTGGCCAAGCCCAGGTAGCTGCCTTTGGTCTTGAAAGTGACGGGATCGGCGACGATGAAGCGCATGCCGAAGCGGGCGTTGAGCTCGCAGAAATCGATGTCGCCGTTCTTGCACATGTCGATGTACTGCATACCATTGAACTTGAGGCTCTGGGGAGAGGTCGCACCGAATTTTCAATAAATGAGAAGGTTTCGAATACGATGAGGGGGAAAAAAACACAAAACTGATCGCAAATGTTTCACCCTCATTACCTGCAGGTGGCCAATATAAGGGGAAGGTGACGACGAAACAAAACGTTTCTCGGTCAAGATGCCCGTTTCCACGTTGCTGAATTCCAGACGGGTGTGGTCACCTGCCATCTGACCTGAGGAAGGGCGGCGAAAAACAGAATCTGAGTAAGAGTCAACTGCGGGAGAAAAGGACGACATACACTTTATTTCTTCGATCTATATCTGTAAATGAAGAATGCTGAAAATGTTTTGTAAATTTTATGTGTAAAAAAAAATTAATAAATCAAAAAACATTAAAGAGCAACCAAGCAATTAGTAAGCAAGCTTCATCGAACTAAGTCAGCCATTTTTCTGTTTTTCTTATAGCATTGTATCAACAGGATGCAGAAGAAAAAAATACTGAAATTAACCTTCAAATAAACATACAACACTCTCCAGAGTTTTAAGGACATCTTGTGAAGACAAAACAATAAACCAAAGATGTTTGAATTTAAACGCCTGCAACTTTTATAAACCAGGGTGGACGAAGACCCCAGTTTGTTTTGCCAAAACGCAGCGCAAGATGGACATCAACTGGGATGAGAAAAAAAAAACCCTTCAAGTTGACTGTTAGATCTTGGCATCGCCTGACTTTTGTTTAAACTTCCAAGGTCACTTTGCAGCAGTGTTGCAGTGTTTCACAGATTTTACAAAGTAAGTCTGGCTTGTACCTTTAACTTAATCATCCCATCATATTTATTTTTTCCATAGTCACCATTTATTACGATGTAGTGCACACATCTTTTATTTATTTTACATAAAACCAATGAATTTATTATTTTTCTTACGGTTTCTTGAAATTCCGTGAGTGAGATTATGATGCTGATGTCTATATTGTTCTGCACCGACAACGTTTCACTCCTCGGTATTTTAACTCTACCGTGAACCACAACATGCAGTAAGCAAACGAGAAATGTAGAGTTCTGGCATTCCATTGGTCTTATTTGTGCAATGTTACTTTTCGGTAGCAAAAAAAAAAAAAAAAAAAAATTTTTTGAAGAAATGTGTTTCCCAACAGCAACTGATCAAATTTTACACATCCACAGAATACATATTCAAACAATGGAAACCACACACAGAAGCGTGCACATCAGGAACAGCATGAGAAACGTCAATACCTTCGGCCATGTCGTCGTCCACAATGAGTTTGAAGTTTTTACCGCGGCGGACCACTCGCACTGAGTGCCACTCATTGTCGTTGAGCTTTTGTCCGGCATAAAGAACCTCAGGGCCCTTGCCTGAAGATGAGGGTCAGTTAGTGGAGGGACGAGGATGGCACAAGCAAAAGCAAAACCAAATATTTCATTTAGAAATGTGAAGTACAGATCACTCACTAATAGAGCGTTCTGGCTTTCAGGGTCTAAGATTTTATTTTTTTCCCTCTTCTAATCGCATCAAGTGCTGTTCCTACTTTAGATTTCAACTGCAGGCATAAAACAAAGATTTGGTTTTGTTTTTGACAACAGAGGAAAAATAATATTTGATGTTACTCACACAAACACTCAACTATAAGAATTCTAACAATTTTTTGTTTGTTTGTTTCTATCCTTTATACTAGCATTTTCCAAAGTTATAGATACCAGACCTTCACAGAAAGTGGCCTTTCACGGTGTGTAGTGATAACTCTTAAAGCCACTAGGGGGCAATGCAGCTCCATCTAGCAGCTGTGGCATTTTCCCCTCAGATTATTGGAGGTGATGCATTAAAATGAAACCAGTTCTTAAATCTTTATCAGCAATGATGGCTAGAGAGATTCCTTCACCAGAATTTAAGACTTTAATTTGCTCTGTGTAATTATGCACTTTGTTGTTGTTGTCTGCGGGTTCAAAGTGGTATTTATTACGGATATGGTACTGAAAAATCAAACTGCTTGCTTCTATCTGCGCCAATAACAATGATCAGAATTTAGAGTTCCAGTGGGAGTTCACACACGTCGTGCTCATTCGGGAGTTTTAAAGCTGCATAGGAATCAGTCTGTATTCCAGGTTGGAGTGACGATACTAAATGTAGTGTTGGATGGACATAGCGGAATGCATTGTGGATTCTCTTGAATAAGCAAGGGTCAAATATCTGGATAAGTGTCTCATAGCTATTTGTAGGGAGGCAGCTCACTTTTTGTTAGCATGGTTATAAATTATGTTAGAAACTCATTAAGCTGTTGGGTTTCTTGCCATGGACCTAAATTTCAACCCCACTGGTGTTGAGGTTGGAGCCTTTCCAGACACCTCAACCATATATTTCTTGAGTTGAGGTGAAATTGGAGAATTTTAAGGTAGTTCTACTTCACCATTCTACCTCTCTCACAAATATAATTTGTCATAACGAGGTCCGACAGCAGTACGCTGGAAAATTGGACAGGCTTCTTAGGTTTGTGAGCTTCAAAAAGCACTGTTTGGTACTGCGGCTAAATTACCTCTATCTCTGTTTAATCTAGCAGCTTAAAGCTATTTTCTGCTATGCATTTGGATTGCCTCAGAGCAGCTGCAAACTTTAGTCGACCTTCAAGTTGTTGAAGGTGCTTCGCCGTTGGTCGGCACTTTCTTAGATCACGTGTGTCCGTCTCTGGTTATCAAAGTGTCGCCATTCTACCAGTTTTAGATGAGTCTGTGAACCAAACAAGGCGAGTTCAACTAGTTCAGCTACCTTCTCAGCAGGCCTGTAAAGTAGATAAACATTAACCTTCTAGATCCAACCTGACATCAACTGCACTAAAACTTTGTGAAGTCCATGTGAAATTTTAAGTAAGACTGTAATTTTTGAGAAGAAAAATTGTGTGCTTTTTCTCGAACTTGCTTACGTGTTGGTTTAGCGTTGGGTTTTGCGTGCCTTATAGCTTATATGTGTAATTTTTCCTCTGCGCGGCTTAATAAGAGAAAGGCCATGAGAAATTCAAATTAGTCCACTCAATTCACGGCTTCCCATAATCACTGAAGTTGTATGCTGTGTGATCATTAGGACCCTGAAATGTGCGCTGCACAAATAAATCATTAAACGCTCAAAGTCGGTGGCATTCACGTCAATGGCGAGTGGATGTGAAAGTCCGTTTGACTAATCTGTGCACATTCGCTTTATTGTATGCATATCCATCCACATAAACAAGCTGTTGTCTCAATGAAAACTCTCCTGAATGCCCTTGTGTCTATTCATTTTTTCTCTCTCTTTCTGTCATTACAAGGCTGATGAGGAAAAAACAAACAAAAAAAGCACTCCTTTTTCTGAGTAAGAACAGGTCATAAAACACCATCAGCATGTTGATTTAAATACTACAGCATGGATTAACACTATACAAGTGCAGGACATTTCAATGCAATGTATGAGTAAATATAAAGCCAATATTCCTATAAAGGCTGAGAGTGCAGATGTTGAGATAGTTGCTACAGGCATGCATGAAAAAAAAAAAAAGATTCAGAGCTAGCTGCTTGACTTAATTTGAAAACGGGCCATTTAAAATATAGAAAGTATATTAAACCTGATTTGCATGACTTTGATCTCTGGCTATTCCTCATTTCCCCCCCACTTTTATCTAAGAAATCCTCTTATCACCTCCCATTGCTCCCTCTCCCTCCAGCCCCCCCCCCGAACCCTCTGCATTCACACATTCCTGCCTCCACACCTAGCACACAGACCACACAATCAAATATTGACGGAAGGAGAAAAGGCTGCAGAAGAAGAATGTTGACTTACTGGTGTTACAGTTTATCCTGACACAGTCTAGATGGGGAGGGGAGAACAAGTGACAGATGAAATCGCATCCTTCAAGGTTACAGCTGCAGACATCCAAAAGCAAGTAAAGCCACCTTCCGGGGACGGACACATGACGCCAGCGGCCATTTTGCCCCCCCCCCCCACCCCTAGCCAATTTGCAAACTGATCAATATGATTAAAGCAGTAATCTGATGTAGCTCAAGTCAAAACAATGAATCTGTTCGGAGCCGGCCAAAGATTTTACAAGGCCTTTAGCTGAATTTTTAACGGGGGACCCATTTTTCATTAGCCTATTGGCCAAAAGTTAAGTAGATCACAGAATAGGTTTGTATTTGTTAGTTTAGATAAATTATTGCTGTGAATAAATTTTGGATATAAGTTTATTTGTCTGACTTTAGGGTTGCACAGCATTTTAGTACATTACTGGAGTCTTAGCCACACATTACCTTCAACTACGTAAAGAACAAATGTCAATATTAGTGTTTTTATAGGAAGTATTTTGATTTTGTGGTTAATACTTAGGTATACTGTAGTCGTTGTAACTTTTTAAAAATAGACATAAACTCGGACGAATGAGAACAAGGTTCAATGTCAGCAAGGCTTTTGGAAAACTAGCCCAATTTTCCATCTTTGCGCAAAAATATTAAAGGCTTCATGAATTTCAAAACTGTGGTTTGAAAAACCCCATATAGTCAGGGTTGAATAGTTCAGCTCAGGTTTGGATAATTAATAGTCATATACCTTTTGGCTTTGTTTTGTCCAAATTACGAGGGGATTCTAAATCTTTAAGATGCATAAAAAATTCTGCCTGTTTGCATTGCACTGTTGCTAACATTATACATTTTAAATCTTCATGGGGCCTTTTTAGATGGTTATATAACCAGGTGACTGCATCTTGTCCATTGTGGACTATTATTAGTCGATTACATCATAGTACCAGGCAACTACTTAACATCTACTTCCTGTCTTACTTTAAAAAAAAAAAAACAAGACACAGGTTGATAAGTTTAGAGTTCTTACCTTTATGTGGGCCTCATGCTAATAGTTTCAGAAGAAATATCATATTGTTGCAATATCACAAGAACTGATGCTATCAGATTCTGTTACATGTCTAGATATTGTTTCGTTTTAAACAACACACTATATATAGTCTTTGTATCAGGAGGATTGATTAGAAACAAAATCTATCCGGTTTGAAGATGAATAAACTGGTAGTATCAAATTATAATTGTTAATACAACTTCCAAAACTAGACTTCATTTTCAAAGAATTTTAAAGTATTTTAAATATTGAACTGAGAAAACTTTAAATTCAAAAGAAGGTCTTTTTATTGACCTCAGGGTTTCCAAGCAGCAGCACGGCTTGCTTGTGCTCTGGGCCGGCTCTGACACTACCCAAAGTTACTTTACCTCTACTATAGCAAATGACTACTTTTGTAGAATTATTTCCTTTTTTCCCTTTTTTGTTTGCGTTTCAAAATGGTCACAAGCTGTTTTAAGGCCACATTGATTTTGCAGCCCAGCTTCTGGAGCCCGAAAAGTTGGGACTCCTTCTTGGTGTCTCTTTGAAAATAAAAGTCCTACTTCCTAAAAGCCAGGTCAAACAATCAGAGCAGCGGGTTCGTCGGGACGTGGGCTGAAACCAATGTGACCGTGTTTTGTTCATGTGCCGTCAACCGCAACAGAAAAGTGGGAGCAAACAGCCGCGCGCCACCTCGCACCAACACCGCACTGAGGCCTGGAGACACCCATGAACGGCATCCGGTGTCATCTTTTGCTTTCTGCAGCTAGCCCAGCTTAATTACTGACTTATTCAGACTTTTGCCTGTTTGGTTTTCATTGTAGCAGCTTATGGGATGAATCAAACTCTTGTCATCCTTTTCACGGTCGTCACGTCGGGCTAGAGGCTATGTCCCTCTGCTGCTGCCGCGTGCGGGTGCGCCGGCCGCTGTGGCTTCGGGCTGTTTGCCAGATGGGCCGCAGGCTCTGGGCCTTTGAAGGGATGAGTGCCATCTTTGAACAAGGCCTAGGAGATGCCAGCTAGGCCAACGGCGGACCTTCTAACATGAGGGAAAAGAAAATAAAGAAATGAATAAAAGGCGAAAAAGAGCACTGGAAACGAAGCGGCAAAATAAAAGTGCTAGCTGAGCTAGTTCTCAAAAGACAGCAAAACAACCAAAACAACCATCTGCATGCTGCTGACTGGACTACTGTGTTCAAGGTGAAACTGTATAAAATAATAAGAAAGATGTGAAACTACTTTGACTAAATGACCTGTGATGAGTTCAAAAGATGCGTGGCAGAGCATGACTAACTTTGTTAAGTGTTAGATCAATGCACTCTTTTTTTTTTTACAAAGACATCAATCCAGGCAGAACTTACACTTTCAGGCAAGTCGAAAACATCAACATGCAACTACAAGGACGGACTACAAATCTGGTTTAGTACTTGTTAGATCAAATAATAATAATAATAATAATAATAAAAGAAAGAGCGCGGGCTCCTGCCTGGGCCAGAAGAGACGGTTTATACGATACCTAGGTTGACCGTCAGTTTGACCCTCCCGCTGTCCAGCTCGAGCCGCAGAGTGTCCGCCGACTCGCGGGACGTGGCGGCCATGAGCAGGCCGAAGGCCCGCTGGGACATGAAGCGCAGGGAGACGTCCTCGGCCTCTGTGTGCATGATGTTCGGGATCACTACTTTCATGTACATGCTGCCGTCGTAAGACAAGACGGAGGCCTCTGTGGAGACAAAGAGAGAAAGACAAAAATGTGGCATTTTCAGTGCTGCACTGCAAAAACACGAAATGTCACCGAACACTTTTGGTCGCGTTTTAAGCTCAAATATCTTACACTTGAAATAAAAGAAGAACTAACTGACAAGTAACTTTTTAAACACGACATCGGAGCTGGTCAATCATTTCTTAATACTGCAGAAAAAGTACTAGTCATGTGTGAAATAATCTGCCAGAGGAACAAGACATTTTAATTTATATTATGGGAAAAATATATTATTTCAATCATAACTAGTACTTTTTCACCAATATGAAAGATTGACTGAGTTAAAACCACCTCCTATTTATTGCTGTAAAGTTACTTGTAAGTTAGTTTTGTCTTATTTCAGGGACATAGATATTTGAAGTAGACACTAGACTGGACACAGATCACAAAACTTCACATTCTGCAGAATACTTTCACATTTGAATGCTTTGCACAGAAATGTAACTTTTCTAAGGATATTTTTTAAATTATTTGAAATGTATTCTATGGTAGAGGGTCATTCTGACTTCACAGAGTTTATGTTGGTAAGATTTGGTCGGTATAAATGTTTGCGTACTGGTAAACTCTAACGCCAAGCGCCCAGTGCTACAGTTGAGATATTTAACTTTAAACTATGAAATATGTTTTTTACATATTTGCTAAAACTGTCACCGTGTTCTGACAATATTCTATGAGACACACAATGTGTGAAAAAAATCAAGCTCCTCTACCGTCTTCCTGCATTTCCAGTGCTAACTACAGAAATGTACAGCCCCATTAGAAACAACCAAACACAGCAAGGAGGACGATCTTAGTGCCGTCAATCATGTTTATGTATGCGCTGCTCATCCCTTTGCGCTCTGCTAAGCTGAAGCTTCTCCCCATAAGCAGAGCCTGCCATAAATGCTAAGGCTAGTTAGCATGGCGATTGATGACGACGCACAAACAGTTTTCCTGGGACAGTAAGTCGTTCTTCCACCATTAATACATTGAGTGGCGCGTAGGCAGCACTGAGATGCTTGTCTTGTCCTGATTTTTTTTTTCAGATTATTTGTGTCACATTATACTGTCACAACATGGTGACAATTTGAGTAAAAAGCGTTTTTATTTTTTTATTTTTTTTATTTTTTTTAAAAATACATTTGCATACTCCAGATTTGAAGGCCACCAAAAAAGTGTGTGGGCCACAGGCTTAACTGGGACTGGGCCGCCCAAAAATATTCTGTTCATTGATCCGTCTCTGGTCTGTAAGATCCGACGCATTTGAGCACAAGAGAGCCTGAGATGCCGATCTGACAGAAGAAAAATAAGAGTTCTCGCCGTTGTGTTTATGCCCCTGGAACTTCTGCAAACATGCTCAGTGAAGAAAGCAGAAAAGGCTCCACCACTGGAACATGAACGCCGCCGTGTCTCTCATATTTTATTAACAGGAAACACACGCGCGTTCATGCCCTGCATGCCTACGCAGCCGCGTTGCTGAATGACGAGTCTGACGGAGCGGGCTGCGAATCGCCGAGCTACTTTTAGCTGGTGCCTTTCCTCCTTCCCTTTGTGCGCTGTGTACAATCCATGGAGCACAAGCAAACACACTGTAACGCACGCGAAAAAATTCACTCCATCATCAAACAACACACAGAGAGAGAGAGATGTCATGGGGTTATGGAGGCTGCAGAGCCAGACTAATTTGTTCTCTTGCTTTAGAGTTCAAACAGAACGAAAGAACCGGAGTGAGAAGGGGGGAACGCTTGCAGAGCACTGGAGAGCCTCTCATGGAGAGAAAGACAGATTAAAAAAAAGCACCCAACCGTGAAATACGTGGCTTTGGCACCGCAGCTTCTAGAAAGAAAACAGAGCCTATATAAACCTTGGCAACACTTTCGACTGGAGCAAAGCCGAGGATGACGACGAGAAATTCCACGAGAAAGCCAGACGCATACGTTAAAAAGAGGAAGTCAGTCCAACTGCCTGACGGAAAAGGATGCCGAAACCTGCAAGAGAGTCGGATTTTTTACAGGACAACCTGCAAAAATCATGAAATGAAGTCAAACACCCCGAGCAGCAAATTGCTATCGAGGGTCCGGAAAGGTTCGCATGCGTACGTTTTAGGGCCCTTGTTGGATCCATTGCGTGAACAAGCTGTCTGTGAGCGCGGTTGCCTAGAGGACCATGAAACCTCGGCTCGCCATTATTCTACTCGGCTTTAGATTGTTCTCTTCCCTCCTCAAAGGCACGGACAGATTTTTAAAAAAGCCAGGAAAACATTCATATGTGAATGAAGAGAAGTCTGTTCGCAGACAGCTCTGCTGACTGACAGGGGGATTGATCGATTGATTTGAAAGGCCAGAGGAGGTCCCGCATGGTGGGCTAGTGGTCTAACATTAGGAGGGAAAAAAATAAAAATAAAACATGAACAGCAAACTAAAACAATGGTTTGAAGAGATTTTCTGATAATGATGTGAGAGAGAAAAGAAAATCTTGATGCAGTTGCATTTTCTCCTATGAGATTTTTCACCACGCATTTAGAACCTAAATCTAAAATTCAAACCAAATTGCTCTCTTGAAACGAGAATTTGAATCCTTTCAAACTATTTTGTGAAAGAAACAAAACGAAGCTTTGAGAAGGGGAACATAAGGGATTTTTGACATCTGCAGTTCCTTCACTATAGCTGAAAAAAGCTGACTGTGTTGTCTTCTAACTTTTTCCAATGGTTTGGTCTGTATTTACATATTGCACAGATGTAAATACAGGAAATGGATTTTAAATTTTGCGGGGAAAATCATAAATTTCTAAACTGAATGGCAGGACAGACGATAGCCTCAGAATATTGCTCAGATGTCTACATCAAGCAAATGAATTACATGGTGGAGTACTTGGTGTGAAAACTGAAAGTGGGACTTTCAGTTTCTTCCATTCACTATTTTACAAAACCTCAGCACAGCTGACAAATGTAAAGCACTTCGCTAACACAGCAGTGCAGAAGAATAAGAAGAGTGCTGATAAGAACGTAACAATGTAACAATTCTGCAGATTTTTTTTGTCTATTAGCTTACATTTTTGGGATTTTATCAGAAGCAGTAGCTGTGATTTGCCAATGTCAAGCAAACTTTGAAAATGTTGCGAAAAAGGTGAAAAACAGAAAGTGAGTGTTCGGCGCGTTTCCATATTCCAGTTCGGCGCTAATAAACCAGGCCATGTAAAGCAGAATTTTGCCAATTGCTTATTCCAAGCATGGCTGAAATAAGAAGCAAAGAGTGGAACGTGGTGTGGAGAGTTTTCACCTGGAAACTGGAGGTTTGGATTTTGACATCTTCAGAATGTCGTGCCTCAGGTGAGGATGTGAGAATGAGAAAGTTCTCTGCAAGTCAGAATATATTCAGCAAAGGTGTTCCCTTTTGTCAATCAACTCTTTCTCGGAAACACTGAAAAACACCTCGATCGAGAATATATATATATTTTTTTAACTGGGGAAGTTTTTATTCTTTTCACACTTTGCTGTTTCATACGTTCTAACGCGATACTTAAAAATGTGCATAGAAGAAAACTGATGTAAACACAGCTAGTGCTACATTACCGGCTCACTGACATTACGTTTGAGAGCTTTTAAATCTCCCTGTAGGATGCCAGTTTGTTATGTCTCCAAACTTCTATTTCTCACATTTTTCTAGACGACTTCTTCAAAACTAGACAAAATTCTCACATTAATCTTTGTCAAATGAATACATTCACCCTGAACAATGTTCAATTAGTACATTTTTCATCTTAGGCAGCCATTTGCATGAAAACCTCAGTTTGTCTTTGTGCATAATAATCTTCCAGTGTATTTCTGCTCCTTTTTTGTTTGCCACGGAAATGAATACAACTTGTCCTGAACTTACAAGGCGACTAATGGTAAATCAGACAAAGCCGGAACCCCGTGCAAAGACAAACAACTCGTCTCTCAGCAGAACTGGAACTTGAAAGAAGTTGAAGCAGCTAAATCTGCCAAATCCGAGCTAATCACGATGTTACAGTGGCAAAGAGAACATGGGAGTGCTGCAGGACGCGGGTGGCTGCCGCTGAGGTAAGCATCGTTCATACAAAATGTAATAACACACATCTGCTCGACAAAACAGGTGACAGCACTCCCTGGAAAGGCAGACTGGTTGCATTTAAACTTGTATGAACACGGCAGCCTCCGTGTTCGCGCCTCCATAATTTGGCATTTCTTAAGAGAGTTATCAGCGGCGCAGAGGACGTCGTTTCAGATGGTAATTAAGCTGCCGCTTGTCATTGAGAGTGTTTGCGTGTGTGCGTGCGCGCTTTTCAATGAACCCCACACTTTACATAATTAGCAGTCCGTCTCAGGGAGAAGATAGAGGAGGAGGGACGCTATTAAGTGATGAGCTTCACAGATATTGTGGGTTTGGATGAGGGAGTGAGCGAGTCGATTTATTTTCAACTCGGGCACACACACACTCACACGCACACGCACCCACGCACACGCACACACACAAGCAATCTGCTTTCCTTTGTATTCACTTCTGTTTTATCCAGGCTCCTTTTTACTTTAGCTGCAAATGTGCATGAGTAAACAACTCTCTTCTGGCTCAAGAAGGTGGGAAGCTTTAGTTCATCCACACTAAACTATTGCGCTTTTAAAACAAATGGCGGGGGTCAAAGTGAGGAGAGAAACGGACCCTCAATCTTCATTTATTTTCTTGAAATTCTCAATTCTCACAGTCATTCATTCAGCCACATTCCGCCAGATGCCAAATTATGTTCATTTCAACACTAATACCGCAGAGGAATATAAGGTATTTGGATAGGATCTCATGCAATTAGTTAACCTTACACTTTGGCGCAACTTCTCTTTTTATTCTTTTTTTTATTTACCTTGTGATTCTTTAACTGCGTCCACTGTTTTAAGTGTCGTTTCCGATCCTGCTTTAAAATCTGAAACGCGATGAGCATATTTCAAATCTTTTGTTCCCCAGTTACAAAT